GTAGTAGTAGTAGTAGTAGTAGTAGTAGTAGTAGTAGTAGTAGTAGTAGTAGTAGTAGCAGTAGTAGTAGTAGTAGTAGTAGTCGTAGTAGTAGTAGTAGTAGTAGTAGTAGTAGTAGTAGTAGTAGTCGTAGTAGTAGTAGTAGTAGTAGTAGTAGTAGTAGTAGTCGTAGTAGTAGTAGTAGTAGTGGTAGTAGTAGTAGGAGGAGGAGGAGGAGGAGGAGGAGGAGGAGCAGGAGCAGGAGAAGGAGGAGGAGGAGGAGATAATCACACGCACGAGAAAGGGAAGGAGGAGGAGAGAAACGCGGCGCGAGGAGGATGAAGAGGAGCAGGGAGGCGGCAGGAAATACGCAAGGAAGGAACGGGCAATGACAAGGAGGACGAGAAGTCGGACGTTGGGCATATGTCGTGGTGAGGGGTTCTTCGCAGGCTCGTAGTGCCATTTGGGCGCCATCTTGGGGTCCTCTTGGGGTCCTCTTGGGGTCCTCTCGGGTCCTCTGGGGACTTTCTTGGGTTTGTTTGAGGGGTCTTGGAGCCTTCTTGGGGCTCTTTCGGAGGGTCTGCGAGGCCCCTTGGGGCCGTATTAGACCCCTTCGCTCAAAAAGAGGGGGGTCTTAGATTTATGCCCCCCCCCCATCGGAGGCCCAAAAGGGGCGTCTGGGGGCCCTCTTGGACCGCTCTTGGGGCTCTTGGGGGCTCTTGGGGCCGTCTTGGGCCCTCTTGGGCTTCTCTTGGGGCTGCATCTTGACGCCTCCAGAGCCTATCGGAAGCGAAAAAGCAACAAGGCAACACACATTGATTTTCCTTCGGTTTTGAAACCGTTTTGGCCTCTTGGGGGGTCCTTGGAGGGCTCGGAGGGTACTTGAAACCGTCTTGGGGCCGTCTTGAGGCCTCTTGGATGCGTGTTGGAGGCTATCTTGAGTCGTCTGGAGGTATCTTGGGCGATCTTGGAGGCTATCTTGGGCTAGCTAAAGCCTTATTGAAGCTATCTTGGGCCAGTTGGGACGCTCGAGCCTTTCACGGGGGAGCCCGTCCAGGTCCAGTGAGGCGGGGGAGGTAAACGTCCCGAGCAGGGAAAGGAAGGAGGCTGTGAAAGGAAACGCTCTAGGCCACCTGCGCCAAGAGGGCTGGTGGGATCTGCACGCGCGCTCTGGCGAATTCGTGCGAAATCCATAGATCCTTCCAATATTTTCATTACGTGCGACGAAGCCGGCCTCTCGCGCGCGCGCATGTCGGAATCATTCGAACGCCGTTGTGCGCTTGCTGATGGTGGGGACGCATTCCGTATCAAATGCCATGCGGAGCACTCGCGGCCGTCGGCCGCGCGCGGCTTTCAAAGTCGCTCCTACACCTGGATCACTGGCACGTGGACACCATCATCGTCATCGGCGTAATCATCGGCGTCATCAGCATCGGCGCCGTCATAGGCCTTGCCGTCGTCATCGTCATCATCCTCACCAGCATCGCTAGTATCATCATCGCTTCCACCGCTGTCGACGTCGCCAGGATACCGCGCCAGCCCGGATCACCGACTCGCATTGAAGTGCCCGCGCGCCAGCGCAGCCTGCGAGGCGCGTTGGGACGTCCCCAGCGGTCAGCACCACCGCGGCCGCGTCGGTCGCGCCAAATTGGCTGGCCGCTCTGCGCGCAAGTCTGCGCGCGCCAGCGCGGCCGCAGCGATGCGCCAGCCAGCGCCTGGCAGTCATCCCAACTGCCGCCGCCTGGGTTGTGCTAACCACGTTGCGGGTGGTGGGTGGAATGAGCAGAGGAGTTGACAACCCACTGCAGACGAATGCTAATTGCACCGTGAAGATTGTACCACGTAGCCTGGACCTGGACAACATAGCTCACACCACATGGATCACCCCGCACGCACTGCATTGCAAAGGTTTGCGCCAGTCTAGCTCGCACCGCATATGTTGCTCCGCGTTGATTGTATCATGCAACATTCCACCATGTATCTTAGACCACATAGATCGCACTGCCCGGTTTTCATCACGTACGCTGTACTACATCGATCACCGCCCATAGGCCGCACCACATAGATGGCACCTCACAGCTTATTCGACGTAGCGCACGCCACGTAGATGAGCATCCGAACTGTTACCGTACCTATTGGACCACCCCGTATGCTAGACCTCGGTGTTTGGGGTCTACGATGGTTAAACTAACTCCGCATATTTATGTGTGTATATATATAGATATAAATATAAATGTATATATGTGTGTATGCACATATTCAGGATACAGAGCTTTGCATGCACAGCTCGTAGATAATAGATATGGGGATATAGGCACAAGTCTATACACAAACAGTTACATATACGTTTACGAACGTGAATGACATCAAGCAACATATAGGTATATACACAAATATATAGCATCACATGTAGAGAGAGGTGCATCGGGATGCGGATGATGGGAGAACCAGCGAGATAGAGAGAACACACAAGTGCGTGAGGGAGAGAGAGAGAGAGAGAGAGACAGAAAGGGAGAGAGAAAGAGAACAACAGGGGGAGAGAAACGCCCAAGCCAGGATGCGACGCTCTGCGCGTGTATCTTCGAGTTTAAACGCTCTTCCCGTCATCGGCCGAGTGGGACCAGTTCGTGATGATCACATCGTGACCATCACGGTAAGAACTCCTCAGAGCAAGCACAATATGTGGAATAGCGCTTGGGAAAACAATTATTGCATCGCGACCAGTGGGCAGACGAGCACCTTCACATTTGGAATACATGAGCGGCGTCGGATCTCATGTCGGCACGCAGCCGCACAGCGCCGTGTGGTCCAGCATTGTGCTCGGCGGGTTGCCAACCGCGGGCGCAGGGTTGCGGTGGGAATTGTCGTCGTCATCATGCCTCGCGCACCATACGTAAACGCCAGACGCCCTGAGGAATCAGGGTCGGAGCTTGGTAACAGCTTCTGAGCAAAGAGATGCTCTGTGAGATGTCCAGATGCTGGATGCGCGCAGCCGCCGACGTGCACGCGCAGACGCAAACGCACACTTTCTGGCGATCGCGGCCTCGCGCGCAACGACGAGGCGGAGAAAGTGCAACAGAAAGCGAAACGCGCGCGGCGGCTGGGCCCTCGACATTGCTGGGATGTACCCTACCGGCGTCAACCATCCGGGCATGGATGGTCGGGAGGAAGCAGATGAGACCAGAGGACCAATCAGCCATGGCTGCAGGAGAGATGAGCGCCACAAGCTCCTCGGGCATGGACAGTAAGCAGAAATGTGCACACCAGTGAGGGTGCCCCACGGCGGCGACTGAACACGACAAACAGCATGGCAGGGCGCACACGCACACGCATGCACGCACGAGCACACGCACACGCGCTCACGCAGACGCAGGCGCAGGCTAGCGCACAGGCGCGCACGCGCACGTGCATGCGCACGCGCGCAGGTACGCACGCACGCGCACACTCAGGCGAACTCGCACTCGCACGCGCTCCCTCTCTCCCTCCCCCTCTCTCTCGCACGCACTCTCCCCCGTTCTGCCTTTCTCACTCTCTGTCTCTCCGTCTCTGTCTCTCTGTCTCTCTCTCACACACGCGCACACTCGCGCACACACATGCGCAGATTCACGCGCACTGGCCAAGGGCCACACCGTTCTCCCCTGCTCGCGCCAGGACGGCCAGCGTCCCGCGCTGGGGCCACGCCGCTCCGCCCTCGGCGTCCGCGGTCGGACCAGACCCGCCGCCTGCGCGGGCCCCGCGGAGGCGCCCTTCCTCGGTCATGGCCAAGCTCGTGGGCGGGGAACGTGTCAATGTCTTTAGGCCTCCTAGATGGGGTCCGAGGATCTCGCCGCATCGGCGATGCAGCTCGATGCGGAGCCGATCTTCGCCATGCCGACGGCGCGGATGCATCGGCGATGCATCGGCGATGCATTGGCGTTGCGGCGCGATCCTCCGATCCCATCTGCTCGGACCCCATCTATGAGCCCTCTAATGTCCACGGCCTCGCAGGCGGGGCCCCTGGTCCGCGACTCCATGGATACCGGTCGTTGTTTGGCGGATGCCCCGCACAGAACGTGTCCATGCGACCGCGTATCCACGGGGTGGCCCCAGGTATGTTCGCAGCTTGTGGCCAGTTCCTCGCCCTCGTCGTCGCTCTCGTCGCACGCGGCTTTGGCCGCGCGCGATGCGAGACGCCCAACAAAAGATGTCAGGTTGCCACGGTGGCATATCCCACTCTATCGGTTGCGCGCCGTTCGTGGCAGGCCCCTATCTCATGCCGAGCGGCCGAGTGGAGGCTCGCCTGTCGCAGGCGGACCACCTCAGAGTGCCCGATGTGCCTACGGTTTCCGAGATGCGAGCAAGTTAATAAAAAACGATCCCAGCACGGGATGGCCGTGAACAAGAGAGCTCTGATTTGCCGAGCCACTCCCAGTGTGGAAGGGTCGAGGGCTCCAAAGGAGGCAGGCGGCTCGAAGAGATCGAGTCGCTGGAACTCTGGCCCCCCCTCCTCTCTTGCTCGTGCAGTCTCGCGTTCTGGGCCCAGGAGGGGCCTGGCCAAGATCGGTGCATGCAGGATATGTGCACCAACCGCATTCGAGCAGCGTGGGCGCTGCTTCTCGCACTTCCGTCGTGTTCAGAGGTACTGCCAGGACAGCTGCCTGCGGGGGTGTTTGGGCTCTCGTGGAACAGGGTTGTTGGCGTCATTCTTATCCCTTGACTGCTGGAATGGCTCCACAGCGGGAGGAAGAGGACGCGCAGGAGGAGGAGGCGGTTCTGAAGCTGGAGCGGCTGCTAGAGCGCTCCTCGTATGCGCGTCGTGTCGCGGTCTCCCGTATGCGTTCACAATATAACAGCATATGACATGGCCCCTGTTTGAAGGCGGCGTGATTGTGCCCAGCATACAGTGCTTCACAGAAGTCGTGTGTTCAACGTTGCTCAACAGACATGTCTGCCTCGACAGTTTGCCTCGACAAAACATGGCGTGCGTGCAAGGTGGTCTCAAGCGCAATGATTAGGGAGCGAAGCAGGGTAGCCTGGGTGGTGGACACGAGAAGTGCCCAATCCCAGACAATGTGTGTTGACCTCTGCTTCGTGCGAACACGCTGCTTCGTGTTGACATCGTGGATCGGCGGGCTGGACTGCGAGGGGGAGGCATGGGTGCAGGGAGGGTGACGAGGGAGCGAGGCAGGAATACTTCGAGGGAGGGAGGGGATGTGGGAGGGCAGGGGGGGAAGGATTGAAGGAGGGGACGAGAGACCTTCGGCGCAAGCACCATGCCAGGGCTCAGGACGGCCCTGGCCAGGCGTGGCAGTGGTGCACAGGTGAGCGACGCAAGAAAAGGGTCGTCTGCGCCGACATTGGCGCGCAAGCTGCTCGCGTAAGGCCGCGCCTAAGCGCCCTCGTGTCCAATGTAGCGTGCCGCGCTGGCGGCCCGCGTAAGCCGCCCCGTATTGTCGGTGTGCCTTCTCGCGCAAGACACTTTTTTGACCGTCGCTCAGGCGCCCTCGTCGTGGAGGGAGGGGCGGGGGGGATCGGTGCCAGGACTGGAATGGAAGTGGGAGGCCCAGACCTCCGACGGCATACCCTGCGTAAACACGCATCCCAAGTTTCGTGGCAACCGCTAAGGGGACGACACCCCCGCTCCTCCTCCTCCTCCTCCTCCTCCTCCTCCTCCTCCCCTTCCTCTTCCCACTCCCTTTCTTCCTCCTCCCCCTCCTCCTCTCCCCTTCCTCCTCTCCCTCCTCACCATCGTCATCAAGGTTATCGTTCATGTCACTCTCCCCCTCCTCCTCCTCCTCGTCCTCTTCCTGTTGGTTTCCCTCCTCCTCCTCTTCCTCCTCCTCCTCGCGCGCCCAAAGGCCCGCAACCTTCGGGGTTCGCCGCGCGGGATACCTTCCGGCGATGCTTTCTGGGACGCAGGATTGGATTCTGGAGCCCTTAACCCCATCTTTGGCGGGGATCTCGTGCCGTGCTTCTCTCTCGGTGAGGGCCCCAGGGGCCCCCAGAAGCGCAGACTCGGGGACCACAGGCGCCCTGACCTTGTGATGCTGGGGACATTTCTCTATGGTGAAGGGGGGCACAGGTGGGCGACTAGGGGACTATTCTGGCGCTCCTGGGCGGCTGCCGACGAGGGACAGCTGCCACCGAGCATCCCTGGGGCCCGACAGCGTCCCGAATGTCACAAAAGATTGAAGAGCACGTCCGCAAGATTGAGGCTGCCTTTGGCCGTCCAAGGGTCCAGTGCGATCCAATGGATTCGATTCGGCATCGATTTCGGCCGGCCCGATCCTATTCGGTTCCGAAGCTTTGACGGTCCGATGCGGCCCGATGCTCGCATGGTGTCGTTTGTCCATCCCGGCGCGGCACCTCCGACTTGTTCCTGGCCCCATGCCGTCGCGGCCCGGTCCAGATGGACGTTCCGATCCGATCCGACCTCCCCGATTCGATACGGGCCCGTCTCGGCCACGCGCAGAGGGGGGTGATTATACGGGCGTCTCCTAAGGAGCTTTCCCCCCTCCCCCTGGCCCCCCCCTCTGCGCGCCGCCCACCGTCCTGCCCGCCCCCGCCGCGCCGTTCCGGAGGCCGAGAGCGCCGCCCCCTGGCCGTCCCTCGGGAGTTGCCAGGCCTGCTGCTCCTGCTGGAGGGTGCGGGTCTCGCCCGTGAGGGCCCTCACAGGCGGCCCGTGCCTGCCCGCGGTGCACCGAGGGGGGATCCGGGAGGAGTGACGAAACAACAACAACAACATCAACACCACCAGCACCAGCAGCAACACCAACAACAACATCACCAGCACCACCACCAGCAACAACAACAGCATCAACACCACCACCAACAGCAACAACAGCAACATCAGCAACAACAGCAGCAACGATAACGACACCACCACCAATAGCAACAACAACCGCAACAACAGCACCACCAACGACAACAGCATCAACAACAACGACACCAACAACAATTACACCACCACCACCGACAACAACAGCAACAACAGCAGCAACAGCACCAACAACATCACCACCAACAACAGCAACAACAGCAGCAGCAACAACACCACCACCAACACCAACAACACCAACAACAACAATCACAACAAAACAACAACAACAGCAACAACACCAACAACAACAACAACAACAACAACAACAACAACAATTACTAGCACGTGGGGACACACCGTTCTCACCAGTGCCAGGGTTTTCATGGGACGCCGGCCAATACCCCCACTTTGTGGGGGGGCAGTTCAAGCTCTCCCAAATTTCCAAACGACTCTTCGCGACCACCCACACCCAGCTTCCCGCCCTATGACGTTCGGACACTTCACTTCGTGGCATGCGGACGACCTTGGCTACTACACTGGCGCATGGGTACAGTGACTTGTTGTGGTAACATTTTCTGGACGCTAGCTTAGTATACGACTTTTTCCACTTTTCAAACACTCGACACCTGTACTGGTTTTTGATGGTAACATGTTTCTGACGCTAGAATAGGAAACACGGTATACCAGTACGACGCCGGTTTGGAGGGTCATTTTTTGCAAGGGATGGTGGCCCTCGCAGGCGCGCAGACGTTGTTGAAGCAGTTCGAGGTGAGCGCAAAAGTTGCCCTCGAAGCCCCGTTTGATAGGAATGTTGAAAAACCATTGGTTTTGGAAGGATTCAGCATGCGCGCGGGGGCAGATTTTCGGAATTTTTGGATGAGAAAGTGGTGTGTTTTCATATGTTTTCTTGACATCGCATCTTGAAATTGTTGAAATCACCGTGTGTTTGGTAGGATTTCGAGGTGCGCGCGCGGCGGCCGCGCGCATGTGCCCCGCGTGTCGTTTTTTGCAAGGGATGGTGGCCCTCGCAGGCGCGCAGACGTTGTTGAAGCAGTTCGAGGTGATCGCAAAAGTTGCCCTCGAAGCCCCGTTTGATAGGAATGTTGAAAAACCATTGGTTTTGGAAGGATTCAGCATGCGCGCGGGGACAGATTTTCAGATTTGTTTGATGAGAAAGTGGTGTGTTTCCACATGTTTTCTGGACATCGCATCTTGAAATTGTTGAAATCACAGTGTGTTTGGAAGGATTTCGACATGCGCGCGCGGCGGCCGCGGCGATGTGCACTTCGTGTCATTTTTTGCAATGGATTCTTGAAATGTGGTTATGTTAGAACAAGAAATGTCATTTTATATTGTTTTTTGCAAGGGAAAGCGGGGGGGAACAAAACAACCGGATCTGGATCACATCGTTTTGTCAAGGGCTTTCGCTCGAAAATGATGAAAACAAGGCTGCGGCCTAGATAAAACGGGGGGGTCGCGCACCAGGGGTCCCAACAATAATATTTCTTTAGAAACAATAACATTCAACAACAACAACAACACCAACAACAACACCAACAACAACAACACCAACACCACCACACACACACACCCATACCCACAGGGTGGTCGGAGGGAGGAGGATTGGCTATGGGTATGGGGACGGGTGCGGGTTGTCGGACCTCGGGGGAGGCTCCCGTTCGAGCGGGCACCCCCATCCGACAACACGCACCCATAGCCCTTTTCGTCCCTCCTATGGGTACGGATGCGTGTCTATCGTTCGTCCAGGAGGCCGTGCTGGAGGGCGCAGCCAAAAACGAAGCCCATGCAGGTCCAGGAGGAGGAGGGAGGAAGGGGGGAGGGGGCGGTGTGTGCGGAGCGAAAGAGGTGGGGGAGTGGGGAGCGGGTGGAGCAGTGGAGGACGGGGGAGGTCTTTGGACGGGGCAAGTGTCTGGCTAGCGCCGGGAGGCTGTATCACTGCAGTCAAGCATCGGGGACGCCTGCCCTAAATCTTGTGGCGCTGGTGGCCAGTGAGCACTCATGCGTTCAACTTGGCCGCACTTCGGGCGCCTCCCTTGATGATAACGGCGCAGCTTGTGCTTGACGGACTCGTCGTGCACTCAGCCGACCACGCCGCACTTGGGACGCGCCCTGCCCAGCCCACGGGAGACTACATTTCGGCGGCTTTCCGGGTGGCCGGCGGCATCGGCCGAAGCCGAAGCCCCAAAGGGAGTCTTGAAACACCCCACAGACCTCTAAGAAGTTTTGCACGCCGCGTATCCCTGCGATGAATCAACAGGGGGCGGCTGATGACTGAAAGCGCGCGTTAGCGTGCGGTCCGTTAGTCGGAAGAAATTGGACTTGGGGGAGTTCGAGGGGGGTGGCATCGCGAGCCCGGGATGACGGAAAGCGCGCGTTAGCGTGCGGTCCGTTAGCCGGAAGAAATTGGACTTGGGGGAGTTCGAGGGGGTTGGCATCCGCGGACCCGCGATCTAATTGCCCTCCCGCTTCGTTTTTTATCGATTAGGACGGCGTTCGGGGCTTAAAACCAGCGTTTCGCTCGAGACATCATCGGAGAACGCTTCTTGGGCGCTTCTCGGGCCGTCTTAGGCGCCTAAGACAGCCCAAGAAGCGGCCAAGACGGCGCCCAAGACGGCCCAAGACGGCCCAAGAAGCGCCCAAGACTGCCCAAAGAGCGCTCCAAGAGAGCCCAAGACCGCCCAAGGCGGCCCCAAGACGTCCCAAGAGGCCTCCACGACGCCCCAGGAGGCGCTCACGAGGCGTCCCAAGAGGGCCCCACGAGGCCAAAATCATGGCTTTTCTTTAGGAAAACGTGCATTTCTAGCATGTACGGCTTTTTGCCTTTCATGGCGTTGAAGACTGTCCAAGAGGTCCCCAAGACCGCCCCAAAACGGCCCAAGATGTTCCCAAGAGGCCCCCCAAATAGCCCAAGAGGGCGCCAAGACGGGCCAAGAGGCGCCCAAGACTGTCCAAGAGGCCCCTAAGAACGCCCCAAGAAGGCCCAAGAGGCCCCCAAGAGGGCCCAAAAACGGCCTAAGAGGGCGCCAAGACGGCCCAAGAGGCGCCAAGACGGCCCAAGACGGCCCCAGGACGGCCCCAAGAAGGCCCCAAGAGGCCCCCAAGAGAGCCCAAAGACGGCCAAAGGCAGCCTAGTCCCTTCACCCCCGCCACCCAGAAGCTCCCAGGAGGCCCCCAGAGGCCCCCGAGAAGGCCCAAAAGGTCCCCAGGAGACACCCAAGAGGCTCCCAAAGAGCCCCCCAAGAGGCCCAACATACTCCCAAAGGCTCTTAGCACCGCGGCTCCCAAGAGCGAGCGGTGACGTAATCGAGCTGATAAGACCAAAGCTCCCAACAGAGAGCTGCGGCGTAATAAGTTCTTGCAGCCAGGGCACAGGGACGGGCGGCAACGCGTGGACAACGAGCGGTCCACGCAAGGACAACGCGGGGGTCTGGAAAGTGCGCTTTCCGTCCCCGTGCCAAGCAGGTCTAAGTGCCCTCCCGTCTTGTTTTTGATCGAGTAGGACGGCCTTCGGGGCTTAAAAACCGCGTTTCGCTCAAGACATCATCGGAGAACGCTTCTTGGGCGCTTCTCAGGCGCCTAAGACAGCCCAAGAAGCGGCCAAGACGGCGCCCAATACTGCCCAAGACGGCCCAAGAAGCGCCCAAGACGGCCCAATAACGCTCCAAGAGAGCCCAAGACCGCCCACGGCGGCCCCAAGACGTCCCAAGAGGCCTCCACGACGCCCCAGGAGGCGCCCACGAGGCGTCCCAAGAGGGCCCCACGAGGCCAAAATCATTGATTTTCTTAAGGAAAGCGTGCGTTTTTAGCATATACGGCTTTTCGCCTTTCGTGGCGTTGAAGATTGTCCAAGAGGCCCCCAAGACCGCCCCAAGACGGCCCAAGATGTTCCCAAGAGGCCCCCCAAATAGCCCAAGAGGGCGCCAAGACGGGCCAAGAGGCGCCCAAGACTGTCCAAGAGGCCCCTAAGAACGCCCCAAGAAGGCCCAAGAGGCCCCCAAGAATGCCCCAAAACTGCCCAAGAGGGCGCCAAGGCGGCCCAAGAGGCGCCAAGACGGCCCAAGACGGCCCTAGGAAGGCCCCAAGAAGTCCCCAAGAGGCCCCCAAGAGAGCCCAAAGACGGCCAAAGGCAGCCTAGTCCCTTCACCCCCGCAGCCCAGAAGCTCCCAGGAGGCCCCCAGAGGCCCCCGAAAAACCCAAAAAGGTCCCCAAGAGGCACCCAAGAGGCCCCCCAAGATCCCCCCAAGAGGCCCAACATACTCCCGAAGGCTCTTAGCACCGCGGCTCCCAAGAGCGAGCGGTGACGTAATCGAGCTGATAAGACCAAAGCTCCCAACAGAGAGCTGCGGCGTAATAAGTTCTTGCAGCCAGGGCACAGGGACGGGCGGCAACGCGTGGACAACGAGCGGTCCACGCAAGGACAACGCGGGGTTTCTGGAAAGATGGCAGCCCAAACGCGGAAAAACGCAACGCGACCCGACCGCCCCCTCCAAAACAAGAAACGCGCTCAAAGGAAACTCCGCGACTCTCTGAGGCTGAGATAGGACAAGAGCGAGGGGAAGGGAGTCAATAAGAGGTGTAAGAGCGGACGGGCCAGCGATCTCGTGCGCTCTGAAAGTAAGTGCGCTTTCCGTCCCCGTGCCAAGCAGGTCTAGTGGCCTTCGGCCCATCCCGTCACCGTGCCTAGGTTGTAAGTCAACAACCTCTTTGGGCACCAGCTTTCAGGAAACTTCTTGGACATGGTGTTTGATCTATCTTCGGGCCTCTCGGGGCCTCTTGGGGGCCTGCTGGGGCCTGATTTGGGCTTTCTAGGGGCCTCCAGGGGCCTTTGGGGATCCCCTGAGGGCCTGATGGCGGTCTCGGGTGGCACCTTGGGTGGAGAGCGCGAAATGATACTTCTTGGGCCCTTGGGCCCTCTTGGGGCCCTTGGGGTTCCCCCTCTTGGGGCCCTCTTAGAGCCTTCTTGGGGCTGTCTTGGGCCGTTTGGGGGGCCTCTTGGGCCGTCTTGGGCCCGTTTAGGGCTGTTTGGGGGCTCTCTTCGGGGCCTGTTGGGCTGGCTTAAGGCGATCTTGGAGGCCTCCTGGGCCGTCCTTGAGCGTCAGAAGCCGTCTTGGAGCGTCGAGCGGCCCTAGAGGCCCCCAAGACGCCCTAAGACGACCAAACGACGACCCTCAGGAGACCCCTCCCCTCAAATACACAGTATACGAATTGTTGTCTCGCTGGTTTTGTAACATTTCGAGCTAACACGTTTCTTTGGTCTTCCAGGCGTCCGAGACTACCCAAGAGGCACCCAAGACGCGCACGGTCGGCTAGACCCCAAGATCCCCCACAGCGATCCAAATCGGGCCCTGATCGCTGAGGGAAACCGCGGCTGGCGGCAAGTGGCCCCAAGAAGCCCCCAGAGCCCCTCCCCGAGCGCCTCCAAAGTGGCCGGGCAGCGGGGCGGCTCATGATTGCCCCCGAAGCAATGACGCGCGGCGCCCGCAACGGGCAGGAGCGAATAATCTGAGCAACACGAGGGAACACACGTAAGAGGAGGACTCTGACGAGAAACGTTGAGAGAAAATGGGAGCAGTACTGCAATAGATGAAGAGAGGGAGGACGAAGCGAAACGCAGGTGCCACCCTGTGGACGTGGTCCTCTGCTTAGTGTTGCACATGTGCTCCGCCTTCCGCATGCGAACCCTTCCACTGGGGCCTTCGGTGGAGATCCCTATGGGGCCACGAAGCGTATTATGAGCGCAAGGGATGGGAGGCGTGGCTTACGATGGCAGTGTCGTGAAGACGTGCTCAACTCTGAAAACACTCTGTTGTGAGGAGCCCGGGACCTGTACAAAAGTGAGGGCCCAGGTCAACTCGCAGAGTCAAACTTGAAAGCAATCTGGCCAGACGATGGAGCCAACCGTCTGTGTCGACGCGCCTTGGCTTCAGCTCTATTGGCTGCGATCCTGGCCAGCTGCTCTGCCGTGAGGACAGCGGCGAGAGGCGGGAAGGAGGGAGGAGGAGGAGGAGGAGAGGGAGAAGGAGGGAGGGGGAGGAGGAGAGGAGGGAGGAGAGGAAGGAGGGGGAGGAGAAGAGGAGCGGGACGCGGGGCGCTGTCCCTTCAAAACGAGGACCCAACCCTACAGGATGGCTGGGAACAAGACAATCCGAGACGAACACTGCCCCATGCCCCACCCGCCTCCCTCCGAATGCGCTCCCGCAGGCGTCGTGGTCCCCGTGGCGCCCTCGAGCGCGGCGGCGCCGCCGGCGCCAGAGCGCGTCCACCGGGAGGGCGACACCGTGATCCACTAGCAGCGGCGGCTGCCGCCACGCCCGCGGGTCGGCGACGACCACGGCGACGACGGCGACGGCGGCGGCGACGACGACCTCGCCGCCGCCCGCGGGGGCGCGCCCAGGAGCTCGCGGACGGCGCCTGGCCTCGTCGTCGCGTCGGCTCGGCGTGCCGGCTTCCTTCGAGATTTCGGCGGCGAGCAGCGCCGGCCTCGTCAGCCGTGGAAGAGTGGAGTGAGAGAGCACGGCGCGAGTCACAGCGGTGGGGGCGTTCGTTCAGGAATGTGCCCAAGAGGCTGCAAGCCCTGCGGGATTCCTTCTCCAATCGGGGCGGCGGTGATATCCACGGCCGATCCACGATTGGAATTTCACTGGCTTCCAGACCTTGAATTACTTCTCTAAGGGTGGTTGTTTGTCCAGTGCCCCCACCGTACTCTTCCGAAGGCCCGCGCGGATTGCACTGATCGGCGCTGGACCCCTCTCCATGGCTCGCGGAGCGCACCAGGAGTGGCGCCAGAGGCACCTCCGCGCCTGGCTTCGCGGGGCGACGCCAGACAAGGAGATCTGACAGCGTCTATCAATTCATGCAGTGATTTCTTTTCCTTCTTCTTCTTCTTCTTCTTCTTCTTCCGAACGAGGCTCGCAGGGTTCGGCGCCTAATCCCATGGCAACGGGCCATGGCCTGCGCGTTGAAAGAGGCGTGTAATGAGAACCGATCTGACGCCCCCTGTCCGCAGAAGGCATCTGTACACCACCACCGCGCCAGGGCCATCCTGGGCCCTGGATAGGTATGGTGGTGGTGCATGGGTGCCTTCTATTAGCCCCGGCAAACGGAACATCGAGCATGTATATTTCTTACCCTGTGTATGGGTGACATTACGTGCGAAGTTTTTGTTGGCGCCCCCGTTCCGATATCGGTAAATGTGTAACTTCCGAGTCGCGCCGACCCAGGCCAGGTTCCGCTCTGCTTCGACATCGAGTCGGCTGCATGCAAGAGCGACCCCTCGACGGAATGACCTCTGGTGTTGGCCCAAAAAAGGCGGGCAATTTTTCTTTGGGATTGAGCTCGACCTCGCGTCGGCGCACGCAGCGTGGAGTTGCGCTTGCATCTGAGCGCGCCAGGGGTTAGACCCCCCTCCTCTCAATTGACCGCAACGCATGCGCGGCGCATCCTCCAGCGCGCGGTGAATTCCCGAGGGGGGGGGCCTGTCGACTCGGCGGCGCGCTTACCGCCGCAGGACCAGTCCCGAATCCCAGCCCAAATCCCAAACCGTCCGGTTTGAATATGTCTCTCATGTACCGGAAACCCGACCCCGTGGGCCCCCGGGCCGAAGACCACCAGGGGCCATACACGAAATCCCCCCCCCCCCCAGGGCCTCCCGGGAGCCTGCCTGCTCCGCCCCCCCCCCCCAGAGCTTCCGGGTAGATTCCAAATAAGTCCCAGACGGGCCGAAGTGGCTCCCGATGGTGCCAAGACGGTTCAAGAGGCCCCGAAGACGCCCCAAGACGGTTCCGATGGCCCGAACAAGCAAACATCGCTCCATTCCCGTTGGAGAACGCACACATCTAGTACATTCGCTGTTTTCATGCGCGCAGCAGTTAAGACGGCCCCAGAGGCCCCAAGGAGAGCCCCACAATGGCCCACGAGGTCTCCCAGTAGGCACCCAGGACCGCCCAAGACGGCCCCAAGAGGGACCCAAGAGGGGCCCTAGGCAAGCGAATTCGAATCTGCATTTCAAGGCCTCCACCTCAAGAGGACCCTGGAAACTTTCAGCAGGCCTCCAAGGACCGCCCCTAGACGACCCAAGAGGGCCAAAAGAGGTCCTAAAGAGGCACCGAAAGGCGCCCGAGGAGGCTTCAAAACTGCTTGCAAGAGGCTGCGCAGAGGTTTTTTCCCAGAGACCAGGACAGGCTCTCAAGAGGCCTCAGGCGGCCTCCGTAGAGATCGAAGACACAGGTATGCAAACACTCTTCCCCTCACTCCTCCACATCCTTCAGGAGGGGAAAAAACACACAGACACAATGAGTCGATGAGTCGTCGATTCCCAGGAAATAAGCAAAAATGGGAAGTGGGGGGAAGACAAACACCAAGCAAATATGCGAACAATATGCGAACAAACACGCCTGACGTATAGTGATTGCAATGCATGCCAGAAGTTGTTTGCGTAAGACAGGTTTCATGCGCGCTGCTCCCATCGGCGCCTAATAAACAATAATAAAATACATATTGGGAATCCGGTTATTTGTGTCTATTTATTTGTGTGTCTCATGGCCCCTTCAATCCTCTTTCTCCTCCTCCCCCTTCCACTCCTCCTCCTCCTCCTCCTCCTCCTCCTCTTCTTCTCTCATCCTTTACGCCTCCCACCCACACCCTTGTCTCTCTCGCTTCGCATCCTCTCTCTTCACGCGCCCTCCTCCCTCATGCCCGTGTTGCCTCCGCCGTCTCGCTCATCCAACCCTGTTCCATACTTCTCGTGTGTAGCCTCCTCCGTTCCATCCTCTTTTCCGCTTCCTCCTTTTCTTGCCTCCTGCCGTTTACCTCGTGCATTCGCCCCCCTGCCCTGTCCATCCTCCTCCCCGCCTCGGTGATCCCCCTTTTATCGCTACTTCCTCCGCCCTGCCCCTCCCCGTCCCTCTCCTTTTCATTGTGCATCCCCCTGTCCTTCCTCTAACCTCCACCTCCTCCTGCTCATTTTTTCCGTTCGCCTCCACCCTACTCGTTCATTCACGTCCCTCTTCTATCTTGCCTCCTGGTACCACCATCTTCCATTCGTATACCGGGGGGGGGCCCAGGCCGCAGCACACACTCCGGGCAGCCAGGGTCTCCTAAGTGGCGCCTCTTCTCCGGGGGCCTCCCCGGGGCCTTCCCCGAGCTCCCCCAGGAGGTTCCTTGAGCTATGCAGGAGCTCCAAGAGGTCCCCACGACGGTCCCAGGAGGTCCCGAGGCTACCCCAAGAAGTCTCCAGCAGCACAATGAGGCCCCAAGAAGCCGCCAGAGTGCCCGCACAGGAGTTCCACGAAGGACACATCAGTCAAGCATATGAAGGCATCCCAATGTGTTTTGTTTTCCTTTGGATTCCCATGTATTGCCAGCGCGTGGCTCCAGGACGGCTTCGGAGGCTCAATGGTCCCGAGGAGAGTTGCAAGATTGCCCACGGATAACCCAGGCATGCCGCGAGTACAAAGCCTCAAGGCGATTTCAGACACCAAGGCGTGCGTTTCCAAGCCAAAGGCCCGACCATCCAGACACGGCCCCTCTGACGCGCTATACGCTTGGCACCATGGCAATCAGAACCTCAGCGCGCGCGAAGCACGCGCAATGATCCTAGTTTGAATGTGTCCGAACATCTTTGCGCATTTTTCCGTTAACCGATGTACTACGGGCCGAGGTATAAGATACGTCGGGCCGAGGTATAAGACCGAGGTCGGTTCGGGGAGGGTCCCCCAATTTTTTCTCGCTCGGTCGTTGAGTGTTTTTGTGAATCCTTGGAGAGGGTACCCTCGAATGTTCTTCAACTTGACGAGCGGAGGGTCTCATGTTGTTGAAGGATGTTCTTCTGTCCTAATTCCGACCGTACTTGAAAGGTACTCCAAGATACTTCATCAGATTCCTGGTCTCCTGGAGGGGCGGTTTTGGCCACGATGCAGGATCTGGGCCGTTCGAGTTGAACCGCGGCTGCCCGCTGTCACCCCTAAGACCCGGCATTAAAGTTCACTCTAGTCTGGGGGCACTCTTGCGTGCAGCCGAAGGGGGCCACAATGAAGGCGCGAAAGGGGGCGACATTGACGGGGCGCGTCAAGAGATCACCAGGAAGGAGAGGAATCCTGAGGGAAGCGGGTCCCAGGGGCCTCCCCCAGGAGTAGGTTTTCATCCCGAGTCATTTTCTGACGGTCCGGGGGCCTGATGACCTGTAAAGGCGTCAGGGGGCCGCTCTCGGCGAACAGATCGAGGAGCCCTTTCCTCCAGGACCCGTCTTGCCTTCCTGCTAAGACGAGCAATTTGCACGAGAAACTTGTCCCAGGCATGGGGTTCAGCGGCTGCCCCTCCCAGGGCGGACGCCCTTCGCAGGTTTGTTATGCCACTCACTGTGCGGCGTCGCCCCCTCCAAGGAACGATCCCAGCAGCGAAAGGCCTGGCTGATTGTGCAACCCGCCAGTCCCCCAAGGCCTGGTGGCTCTCCAACGGTGACTGTCGCGAGCAGCGACTCCCCTGGCAGGCCAGACGAACGACTGGACACGATTGCTGCGACCCTTCCCGCCTCCGATCCTGGCCCTGGCCCGTACAGCACCGCTGCCAGTGAGGTAGACGCGGCAAAGTCTGCATCACCTGGGGGCGGAGCGTGACGGCCATGCGACTGCCAGGGCCGGCGCAAGGGTCGCGCGAGGAGGGCGAGCCGTGGCAGCGGGTTCCGGCACTGGCAGACTGGGCTGCGACAGCGTGGCAAAGGGTACGTGGCGCCGTGCGACACGCCCGCCGCTTGCCCTGGCCACGAGCCTGGAGGCGCCACCGCCTACGGCGCTGGCCCGCCAAGTCGCGCCGCGCGCCTGTCGCGCTAGCGGCCGCAGGGCGGCTGCGCTGCTGCGCTTCGGGGCCGCCGGGCCGCTCGCGATCGGCGCGGGCGCGGAGGGCGCGGGCCCGGGCACTCGGACGTGGGCGGAGCTGGTCCACGCAGGGGGGAAACAAACATTCGCCGGCCTGAAGGTGCCGGGGGCTCCGTGGCCCTAGCCGCTTCTGGTGGCGCCTCCCGCCGCTGCCTCCCGTAAGCCGTGCGTCTCGCCGACGCCGCCCCGGGCGGCCCTTGGCTGCTGCGCGCTGGCCCGGCTGCGCCGGGTCGCCTGCCCCGCTGCTCCTGCAGCTGGGTGCCCGTGCCTGGCCGGCTCTGCGGCCAGGCGTCCCTGAGGCTCTCCCCGCTGTGTTGCGTGCGCCGGCCAGGTTAGCCGCCCCTCCCCCTTGTGCCCCGCTGCTCTGGCAGCTGGGCGCCTCCGCCCCGCCAGCCCTGTGGCCGGGTGTGCCCGCCAGACCTGGCTGTGATGCGTGCGCCGATTGGGTTCGGCCCTCTCTTTTCTGCCTCTCGCCGCCTTGCCGTCGCCTGGGAGTCCCCTGCGACGGCTAGCGGCGCCTCGCCGCGCTGCGCCACTGCAGGAGTTGGTACTTTGCTGGGCAGCCCCCAGCTGCATTGCTGCTCTGCTTTGCAGCCCTCTGCAGGTTTGCAGCCGGCAGCCCTGCAGTTCTCTCTTCAGCTTTGAGCTCAGCACGGCAGTACAGTAGTATTGCAGCATTTTGCTGCATTGAGTTGGTCGCTGGCCTAGGCCTCGTGGTCGCTGGCCTTCCCGCATCCCGCTGGCGCCGTATCGCAGCAATGTCGCTCTCCTCCTGTACTGGTTCGACTTGGTCTGCGCTTTCAGCGCGTGCAGCCGCTGCCTCAGCCAATGGGTGTGGGCGCGATACCGCTCCACGTCCACTGCAAGGTCGCCTCAGCAACGGCCGGCCGAACAGGCCACCCATGCCGAAGCTCTTCATGCTGTGAGTGCCTTCCTCCCCCGCCCGCTTTCCGCGGCTGCCCTCCGCCTCATTCCCTCCCTCGTGCCGCCAGACAATGAGCACCCAGATCATGCCATGGCCCGGCTACTAGAGCGTGCGTGCGGATTGCCTTTCCCGCGCTGCGATGGAAAAAGTTCTGGTTCGGCGGATTATGGAAGATGTCTCAGAATCACGTGAGGCGTATGAGTTTCTCTGGAGGTTTTCTGGGTGCTACGAGGAGCTCGAGAACGCCAATTGGCGTAGCGCCGATCTCGTTTGCGCGAAGGCGTAAAACGAGGATGAGTCCCCAGTGCCCCCTGGAGCCGCTCTCTCTTGGCATTCTCGCTCGCTCTTCGATGGGGGGGGTGATTCTGATTTTGATTGACAAGGCAAGGGGGAGGGATGTGGAGGACCGAAGAGGGGCGGGAAGGATGATGAGGATTCTGACGACGAGGATGATGACGGTGATGATGGTGATGATGTTGAAGATGGCGACGATGTGATGATGAGTATGATGATGAGTTTGATTGTGATGGTAAGGATGCTCATAATGAGGATGTTGATGCTGATCAGACTGATGGCGGTGATGACGAGTATGGTGATGATGACGATGATGATAACGATCATGGTGATAATAATCATGGTGATGATGCTGATGATGGTGATGGGGTGATGATGGTGATGGTCATCATGATGCTGATGATGGTGATGCTGATGACGATGATGATGACGATGGTGATGACGATGATGGTGGTGATAATGATGCTGATGCTGCTATGATGATGCGGATTTTCAGGATAAGATAGCGTTGATGATGATGTTGATGTTGCTGATTACAATGTTGGTGATGACAATGGTGATGGCGATGATGGTGATGATGGTGGTGATGATACTGACGATCGCTATGATGACGATGCTGGTTGTGATGCTGATGATAACAACGGTGTTGATGATGGTGATGATGATACTGGTGGTGATGGTGATGATGGTGCTGCTAATGCTGATGTTGCTGCTGCTGCTGATGCTGTTGATGGTGATGATGATGATGGTGGTGGTTGTGGTGATGATGCTGGTGATGACGGTGATGATGCTGATGATGCTGATGATTATGGTGGTGATGATGATGATGGTGAAGGGCATGATCACGAGGAGGAGGAGGAGAAAGCCGACGACGACGGCGACGACGACACTTCTCGACAACGCCCTCTAGTGGGGGGCGGCGCCGGATCCGAACGACTCAACGTACGAGGGGCAGATGCTGGACGGAAAGGCCGCGGCCGCCGCCCAACGTTGCGAGGCATTTTCGGGGGACCCTTGTCTTGTCCTGTAGGCTGTTGGCCTGTCTTTTGCTCGATGCTGGCTCGAGGTGGTTTTGGCGCCGATTTCAGCGCGGAATGTAACCTTCGGCATGGGCTCGGTGCGGATTCGACGTGGGCAGCGACGCGGCGGAACACACAAGGTCCTCCGAAGATGCAGCATCGCCCACGAGCACTTCTCGCCATCCTGTCATCATCGTCCTCGTCGTCCTCGTTCTCGTCGCCCTCGTCCTCGTCTTCGCCCACGCCTGCTCCCTCAACCTTGTTTCTTCCCTTCACCTTCCCCTTTCCCGCCACTTCTTAATTGCGGTATCCCTCCCTCTTGCATTCTCTCCCTCCTCCATCTTGTCCCCCTCCTGATCCTCCTTCCCCATCCTCCTCCCCCTCCCATCTTCCCTTGAAGCCCTTGCACCCACAGCTCAGTAGATACTCCAGTGAAGCTCTCCAAACCTTCCTCAATCCTTTGCCTCGCTCTCTTCTTCCCCCTTCTCCCCCGTTCCCCATCCCCTCCGCCTTCTGGAATCCCATACACTCCTCATAACCAAAAGCCACTGAACGCCCTCCTGGACCCGTTGACCCCCCCCTGCAAAACTTCTCCTCACTCCTCCCCCTTCATCCTCCTCCTTCCCCTCCTCCCTCTCCTCCCTCCATCCCTCGCCCTCTCCCCTTCATCGTGTCCCTTCACACCAAAACGGTCCCTGGGCCTGTCTTGGGGTGCGTCGTAGGCCCCCAACGCCCTCCAACCGTTCAAACACGTATATCCTCGATGCTACCCTCCTTCTGCTCCTCTCCCCCCCCTCTCCAGCGACACGGCTTCGGCACGCTGACCCGACAAGACGGGACGGTGTACGACGGCGAGTGGCGCAACGACGAGCTGAACGGCGAGGGCACCGAGAGGAGCGCGGGGGCATGCTCATTTGCAGGAGGATGCGAAGGCGGAGCAGGAGGATGTACATGACGACGGCGACATCGACGATGAGCTGGATGAGGGCGAGGGCGATGACGGCGGCGGCTGCGACGAAGACACTCTTCCTCTCTTCCTCCTCCTCCCCCTCCTACTCTCCTCTTCCTGGCTTCTCGTTCCTCGCTTGCTCTCCTCGCTCCCTCTCGTCCTCGCCCTCCTCCTCGTCTCTCCTCCTCGTCCTCCTCCTCCTCCTCTTCCTCCTCCTCCGCGTCATTGGCCCTTTCTGAGCACACCTGGACTTTCTTGGTAGTGTGCTGGGCCTCCTGAGGCATCGTGGGACCTCCGGGGACGTCTGGGGAGATCCCATGAAATCCATCACTCCAAACCAGTGGCACCCCCTAGAGTCCCCGAAAGCCCTCCTCATCTCTCATTCTCGACCCTCATATCCCCCTCTTTCTCCTCTTTCCTTTTTTCTTCTTCTTTTTGTGCGTCTTCGTTTGTTATCTTGCTTATGTTTTCTTACCCCTCCTGCTCCTTCTCTCCCCTTTACCTCCTCCTCAGCCTCCCAATCCCCCTCGTCGCCTTTTCCTGTCTCGACCTCTCCTTGTCATCCAATCCCTGTCCCTCTCCTCCGCGTACTCGATGTCGTCCTCCAATTCCTGGCCCCCTCCTCCCTCCGTCGCTCCTCTTGCTCGCTTCTCGTTCCTTCCTCCTAGCTCCTCCCTCTCGCTCCTCGTCCTTCCTCTTCCTCCTTCTCCTCCTCCTTCTCCTCCTCCTCCTCCTCGACGCGTTCTCATTGTCGTCGTCGTCGTCTCCGCCCGCTCCTCGTCGTTGCCTTCGAGATCATCCTCCTGCTCTTCCTTCTCCGCCTCTTGCCCCATTTCTCCCTCTGCGGAAGAAAAAGAGGTAGCGTCTTTGTCACGACGATTAGGGATCTGGACATCCCCATGTAAGATCGACGCCCATGCCTTCCTCTGGACGCGCTCCGGCAACAATCTCGAGATTCGCCGAATCGTGGCGACGAAGGCACCCCAGGAGCCCCTGGAAGGGCGCACGCAAAACGTTCAAGAGACCCTAGCCTTGCGAGTCCAACCGGCGCTGCGGCACCGGACACCCCCGTGAAGGGGTCACTTGGCTGCAGACATCTTTCAAGCCTTTGAGCCCCCAGGTGCCTGAGAATCAGACCTGCGGGGGCAGGGTTTTCACGTGGTTGCACTCTCGGACCTCGGTGCTCGTCCCTCCTCCTCCTCCTCCTCCCTCCCCTTCCTTCTGGAGACCTTCAGAGGTCTCTGGAGGTTTCGCGAGAGCTCCTCATTATACTCCTCTTCCTCCTTTGTCCCGCTCCCTCGTCCTCCGCAAACCTCCTCCTTGAACCTCGACCCTCTTTGAACCTCGATCCTCCTGGAACCTCGATCCTCGATCCTCTTCGATTCTCGATCCTCCCAACACATCGACCCTCGATCTTCCTCAATCTTCCTCGATCCTGCTCGATCTGGGGATCTGGGATCCACCAGGAGGGGGGGCGGCGCGGGTTGAGCTGCTGCGAGGGGCGCGTTGCGTGGAGCCCCGCCCGCTGACCCCTTGGGGTGACCCGCGCGGCTCCCTTCCCAGGTGCACGGACGGCACCTGCTTCAGAGGCCGCTCCCCGCAAAGGGGGGAGGGGCAAGAGGGAGGAGTCCAGGGCGGGGTGAGCCAGCGGCAGCTGGCGGGGGGGTGGGGGGCGGCAGCCTCGTCGCCACAGCTGGACGCAGCTTGGAAGACTGTCGCGCATGGACCTTGGGAGAGGTCCAGGGATAGATGTTGAGCTGCCGGTGCCTCGTCTCGCCCTGCCGCGAAGGAAGTACAGATCACGCAGGAGGGGCCTTTGGCGAAGGGACCAGTGCTCTTGACCCGCGCTCTTGTTGCTTGTCTCGGCTGTAGCCGTCATGGGCAGCGTCAGGGGGGGGGGTAGCTCAGGGGGGGTATGCATCGACCTCCAGTCGCCCGTGCATCGCCGATGTGTCGGCGATGTCCCGCCGATTCTGGGTCGGCGTTTCCCCCACTGAGCCAGTCCCCCCCTCCCGTTCCCCCTCAAATCGCAGGCGATGTCTGTCTCCTCAGTCCCCGCGTTCCCCCCCCCCCCCAAAAAAGGACCGCTCAGATGAAGGGACAGTCCGGGGATACAACCCCAGGATGGCTGTTCGCGCGCGCCACTGTCGAGGATGGACGCCCAAATACAGATCGCAGATCCGTGATCGGGGAGCCCGTATGCGTTGCCGAGGCTCGCCTTGGCCAGAAAAGACCTTTCATTGCTAATGTGGCGTTCCTCGTGGTAGCACGATGGCTGCATTAACGCGGCCTGTGGGCGAGCAGAGTGGTTTGAATGGCACGAGTCCTGGGCGAGCGAGAGGTGGGATAAAGGAGGAGGAGGAGGAGGAGAAAAAGGAGGAGGAGGAAGAGGAGGACGAGGAGGATGAGGAGGAGCAATCTGATCATCGGCATGTCAACGTGCTTCTGGTGGCGTTCAGTAACGGTCTTGGTGCTGAGCGCGGTGTGATGCGCGACGTAGAGCAGATGAGTCGGACATGGGGAGAGTCCGACATGGGAATCCGTGGTCCGCGTTGCAGGCGTCACGCACACCCTCCCCAGACGCCCCCAGAGGCTCTCGGATGCCAACAATTCCCAGAAACCTTTCTCCGCGGAAGTTTGTGGCCATGTTGCAGGCGTAACGCAACATATCACAACCGTGTGGTTCCCAGGCGTCGCCGAGTGGCCTAGAGTATACCTCTGCGTGGCCACGGAGCTCCAGTTCGCCAGGTACGCTTGCCTACCAGACCTTTGTAAGACCAGGATCTGAGACGAACCCAGTCAGCAGAGTCATTATCTTCAGCGTGCGTTCCATCTGCCCCAGAGGTTGGTCCTAGAACTCGATAACTAGTTGAAAGTATTTGTCCAGATCGTCCACGGTCACCCAGGCATGGATTGACAAGTCCGAGCGCGTGACTTTCAATCAAAGGGTCTCCCTTCTCCTCTCGGGTTGGCGGAGATGGGAGTGATGAGTAGGGAGATGTAATGGCCAGGGCCGTGACATATTTCGGATTCCATGGCCCTCTCTTCTTCTTCTTCTTCTTCTAAATGGTAGCAATACGGTAGAGGGAAACAATTACTGAACATTCCGCCTCCCCCCCAAATTCAATGTTGGCACGCGCGGGGGGCACTGCGGTCGAAGTGCATCTCGTCGGACCCACCGCCAATTCTGAACATTGGGGGGAGGAGGAGGCGTTGACGGATGAATGTGGCACGAGTGTTCGCTAATTTGTTCCGAGGACTGTGGGTGCGTTGCCCGGCACGCGGTTGCCCTCGAACTGATTGGGGCGCAAAAGTACAGGAAGAGGTACACGGGGAAATGCTCGAGGGGAGGACCAGGGAGGAGCCATCACAACCACTACGAGAATCAAAGGCCAAAGCGGCTGCATGTTGTTATGTCAAGCGCCTCCCCAACGGCCCCGGGTCCCCCCCGCAGGCGTTTCGCGCATTTGTTTGTTTTTGTCACGGATTACTCGCAGCACTCGTCCCATTATTCCTTATTTTCACATGTGACGAGTGATACGAGTAATATAGGAAAAATGAAGAGTGATGGGGCGAGTGGTGCGAGTAATACGTGACAAATAATGGCGCGGGACGACTCGGGCGCCAGAACATGGGAAAAAGGGGAGAGATGTGTGTCTCTCTCAGTATAATCATATAAACACGTATGTATATTTCAGTATTTACAACTATACATATAAACACATTAATCAATGACCATGTACATATCCATATGCATAGACATATACACATGCACATACATATACCTACATTCACATTTACACATATGTATACACGTATTTATATATACATATCACAATAGTCCCGCAGAAATCCTCACCCGCAGAATCGCTCGGCCAACTCGCAAATGACGGGGTAAACTAGAAGATGAGACGGTAGAGGGAAACAATTACTGAACACTCCCCCTCCCCCCCCCGAACTCAATGTTGGCACGCGCGGGGGGGCACTGGGGTCGAAGTGCATCTCGTCGGACCCAGCGCCAACTCTGAACATTGGGGGGAGGAGGAGGCGTTGACGGATGAATGTGGCATGAGTGCTCGCTAATTTGTTCCGAGGCCTGTATCATTACTTTTACCATTATTACTGTTATTATTTTTCTTCTTCTTCTTCTTCTTTTTCTTCTTCTTCCAATGCATACCCTGCCCCCCTCGTCTGCGCATATGCCTCGGTCCATGGTGCGCCAATGTCCCCTCGTCCTGGCCCCCCTCTCCTCTTCGTCGCACCCAGTCCTCGATTTTGCCGCGTCTCCCTCCCTTTTCTCCCGAGCCCGCGCGTTGCCTGGGCCGCCAGCGTGGACCCCGCCCCCTGTGGAGTTCAAATTGCACCCAGGAGGGCCACCCATTGGCGCGGAGGCTCAACGATGCTGCTCCGAACTGGAGGCTGTTACAGGTGTCCCCAGCGGGGCGCCGAAAAGCCGCGGCACCGCACGCTCCCTGGAGGCCCTCGCCCTCCGCTGCTCCCCGCGCCGGCGCTGCCGGTGCCGATCTCCTCTCTGCTCCCGCGTGCTCCTCTCCACCGCCGCCGCCTCCTCGTGCCTCCTCACGTGCTCGCCTGCCGCGTGCGCCGCCGTCGTGGGCCCAATCTCTCCAGAGGCCCAGCCCTCCTGCTCCTCCCTGCTCCCCTCCAGGGGCCGTCCCTGCTCCCGGGGCCAGCGCGAGAGGGCCCTGACGGGCCGAGCGCGGAGCCGACCTTGAAAGCAGAAGCAGAGACCACCGCCACCGAGAAGCCATCTCGGGTGTTGCTAGAAGTGCCCTTGGCCCAAGGGGCCCCTAGGATTCCCAAGGATGCCCCCACGGCCTACAGAGCACCCCACACGAGGCCCAGAGGGCCCCAAGGGCTCCAAAGTGGAGCGAAAAGCTGGGGCACCTTGGGCCAGACCACCCCGGGCGGTGCTACGCCTGAGCGTTGTCCGATACTGGGTGGCGCTTTAGAATGCCGCCACCCAGGGGTCGCCCACCCCCTCCCGATGGGTTCTCGGTGGCGATGGTCTCTGTGCCTCCTCTGAAGACCGAGGTGAATCCAGAGTGTCCGTATCAATCTGGAGACCTCGCATAAGCTCCAGTGCGGCTCGAGGAACAGCATCAGCCGTTAAGCCCCCCAGCGAAGAGGAAAGGACGCCCCCAGATGCTCCGGCGTCGCCGGAGCGGGCTGGCTTGCCCCCCCTTCCCCCCCTTGCAGGCCACTACGCGAACGGGATGCGCGCGGGGCACGGCGTGGTGACGTGGCCCGAGGGGTCCAAGTACTCCGGCCAGTTCGAGCGCGGCAAGGCGGCGGGGCCTCGGGCCCTCCCTCGCCGTGGAGGAGAGGCGTTCTCGGGGGAACGGGTCCTCTGGTGCTTCGCCGCTCTCCGGCTCCCGGCCCATCCGTTTCCGCCCGGGCTCGTATTCTTCAGACCCGAGGTGGCGCAGCGCTGGCCTCTCTCTCTCTCTCTCTCAGGTCGCCGCCTCTTTACCTTTTGTTCCGCCCCCCTTCACAATTACTCAATATGAAAATACTCTCCCTCTTCCCCTGATGGCGTCTGGGTGATGGCCGCGCACCCTCCGCGTACTGTTTTTTTACACAGGATGTCCGGGAAATCCCGGGAAACGACTCTCGCTGAGGCGCCGGCGTCATTTTTTCCCCAAATGCTGCTCTCGTTGAGGCGCCGGCCTCATTTCTGCTCCCGAATCGTTCCGAATCGTGCTCCCGCTGCAGCGTGGGCCTCATTTTCGGATCGGTGTTTGGCCTCCGTCGTTCAGGATGGCGTTCTCGCCCCAGCGCGGGCCTTTTTCTCGCGCGCCCATCCGCCCGCCACCACCGCGCCGCACCGCCACCACCACCACCACCACCACCACCACCACCACCACCACCACCACCACCACCACCACCACCACCACCACACCACCCAGCACCAGCACCAGTACCAACACCACCACCACCAGCACCACCACCACCACCACCACCAGCACCACCACCACCACCACCACCACCACCACCACCACCACCACCACCACCACGCACCACCACCACCACCACCACCACGCACACACGCACGCACGCACGCACGTGCACCACCACCCACTACGCACGCGCGCGCGGAGCCACAGGTCCGCTACGACACGCGTCCGCGGATAGAGAAAACAGCGCCATGGTAAGGGATGGGAGGGAGGGGTAGGACGTCAGATATGACGCGAGCGCACCTAGCTTGTCCTTCACCCCTCCTCCCCCTCCGCCTCCCCCTTACCCCCCCTCCGCCTACCCCTTCCCCCCTTCCCCCCTTCCTCCACCTCCATCTCCCTCTCGTCGTCGTCGTCCTCCTCCTCCTCCCCCTCCCGCCCTCCCCCCCTCCTCTGTATACTACTTGCCGTTCGCTTCCCCACCCGCCTTCCACTATGTTTCCTCGCTTTCTCTCTCCCTCCCTCTCCCTTCCTTTCCCTCGGCAGGTCGCTGCCCTCCTCGACCTTTTCTATCTTGTTATCCTCCTCTTCTTCGTCTCATTCTTATTATTGTTCCCTTGTCTCTTCCTGTTTCTGTTTCTTCTTCTTCTCATCGCTGGTTCCCCCCATCCTCCTCCCTTGTCCCGCATCTTTCGCCCGACCGCCATCTTCCCTCCCAGGCAAACGGCGAGGGGTACCTGCTCAGAACGGACGGATCAGTGTACAAGGGCCAGTTCGGCGAAGACTGCATGAGCGGCGAGGGCTGCATGCAGTGGAAGGACCGCCCACTTGATACGTTCTAGAGGACGACGCACGACGAAGGCTAACACCGTGGGCAAGACGACGGCAGCTTAGTGGCGGCATCATGTCCAGCACAACGAGTGCGGGTCGAGAGGGCGAGGCAACGGAGAGAAGCAGGCAGGCAGCGACGTAACGGTGTAACTTCGAATCAGCGGCAGCAGTAGCCGCAGCGGCAGCCGCAGCGGTAGCCGCAGCGGGAGCGGGAGCGGGAGCAGTGGCAGCGGTGGCAGCACAGGCTTCGGCAACAGGGCAACAGCTCTGGCAGTTAGGGGGCCACATGTGAACCCTACCCCTACACCCCACGACTTCTGAGGGAGAGGGTGGGGTTCACTTCGCTCGGTGGCCCCCTAGCAGTGGCAACAGTGGCTGAGGCGTTCCTAGAAAGGCCTCGCCTTCGGCATGTCTTGCCCTCGGCGGGATCCAGAGGAAGGTCGGCGGAAGCGGGCGGAAGCAAAGTGGCGGCCGCTCCGCAGGAGGCAGGCGGCGGGACTGGACGTGAGGCGTCAACATTGTTTAGTTCAGGAGCTTCACATTCGGCCAATGTGTTTGCAATATCTCCGCCAAGTCCGCCCATACGGTTTCTTGTTCTTTACATATTGCATATGGTGGCGAGTGGTCGCCATCCGTCCCGTAGTGGTGAGGGGTCGCGTGTTGAGCATGCGACGGGCAGACAGAGCAGTATCGTTATAGAGGGCCTGTGATGGAAGTCTGGTGGCAACAACGAGCATGATGAGGCGGATGAGAAGGAACATGAGGTGTATTTGTCGGAGGAGGGCCAGTCAAGGCACACACTGTCCTCTCTGGCGTTTTTCATCCTTAGTGGGCCTACTGGCGACTTCTCGTCGCTACGGTCAGGATCGATCCGGGGAGCAGTCAGGGGGCGTGGTTTGAGCAGATGTGGGCCGACCAGGGGAGACGCCGTTGTCTCAATTGACCTTCCTACAGATATCGACATGATGTGTTTCTTCTGTCCTGTGCGGCTGAAGTATGGAAGTTCGTGTCGGGACATACGGGAAGTGTGAGATGGAGGTGATGTGGAAAGCATGGGCGTGCTTCGCGAAAGGGACCGTGCATTGCTGCCTGTTTGAAGAGAGGGTAGCGGCAGTTCTCGTTTTGTGCACAGCACGCCTCAGGATGGTGCCGAATATAAAGGGCAGTTCTTGCAAAATCGCCGCGATGGCAAGGGCACGATGACATGGGTCTCGGGCAGGTGGGCTGATTTGTCCGTTCATGTGCGCGCTTGTTGGTCCTCTGCTATTGCGGTTCATCGAATGATGCTTGACCGCCCATGTGAAGTGTCGCAGCATTGTGCAGCGTTCTCTCAAGTATGCAATTGATGTTTGCTCGATTCCGAAGCGGCGATTCCGCAGCGGGATCGAGCCTTTTCCTCTCATCTTCTTCTCGTACTTCTCCTCCTCCTTCTCATACCCTCCCAATCCACCCCCACCGCCCCCTGACAACCCCTTTCAACCTCTCGCAACCACTTCCTCGTGCCTTCCTTCTTCCTTTCTGCTCAGTTCTGCCCCTCCTCGTTCCTTCTCCGCCCTCCGTCCTATTCTCCGTCCTCCGCTGTGGCGCTGTGCCGGCTGGGTCAAGGGCCTCCTCTTAACCTCCTCTCCCGCCTCTCCTCTCGTCCCGTCTCCTCTCCACCCCCGCTGCCCCCCTCAATTCCCTCCTGTCTCCTGTCCTCTTCTCCTTCTTCCCCCCCCACTCCGCCCCCGCTGCTCCCCTCAATCCCTTCCTTCATCCCCTCCTCTGTTCTCCCCTTCTCCTTCTCACTCTTCAGTCTCACCGCTTTCTTTTCCCCCATCTCCTGCCCCTCCTCCTCTTCTCCCCGATTCCTCCTCCTTCGCCCCCCCCCCCGTCTTTTTTTCGCCCACCTCCACAGACCCCCTGCTCCTCCTCACCCTCCTCTCCTCCTCTTCCCCCCTTCCTTTGACCTCCGTTCTCGTCTTTGTTCACGACGTGAGTCCTTCGGTTTCTCGACCGCGCCCAGGAGACAGATTCTTCGTCGCGGATCTCCTGTCTGCTGGCCCCAGGTGTCGCGAAAGAGGGACCACCCTTTGAAGCCGAAATTTTGTGAGAATCGTGATTCCTTCGCGATGCCTGGGGGTTCTCCTCCTATGGGTGCCCCAAGGGCCCTATGTTGCCCCAAGGGCCCCATCCGTCCAAAACGTTGACCCTCATCTCAGTCTCTCCTTTCTCCTGCTCCTCCTCCTTCTCCTCCTCCTTCTGTTCCTCCTTCTGTTCCTCGTTCTGCTCCTTCCCTTCTACTGTACCCCCGCCCGCCTTCTCTAGAGCGCCGCGGTTGGGTTTTCACTTGTCCTTGTTGGTGGTGCACATGGCGCGCATCAGCCCGTTTTCTTCCGCTTTCTCGCAGGCTGTGCGCGCTTTGCATCTAAGCCTCCCAGATGTGAACCGAGTAGATGGGTCTGGGGATCGCACCGCATCACCAATGCGTTATCGGCGATGCGTTTTGATGTGGAGCATGATTTTCTTCATCCCGCCGTCGCCGATGCATCGCCGAAGCATCGACCGTCCGTCGGCGGTGCGGCGCGCGATCGTCCATCCCCATCTGCTCGGACCCCATCCAGGAGGCCTCCACTGTCGCTGCTGGCCGGGAGCGGTGGTAGCCCTTTACCCGGGTCCGGAGCAATTGAGGACAGCCAATAGCAAGTGAGGGCCTCACACGAAGGCAAGCCAGGACGGATTGGGAGGAAGGGAGAGTCCATGCCTCACAGATGGGGCCCGAGCAGATGGGGTCGGAGCATGGCGCCGCATGGCCGATGCATCGGCGATGCAGCTCGATGTGGAGCCGGATTTTCTCCACGCCGACTGCGCCGATGCATCGGCGGTGCGGCACGATTTTCCGACTCCTTGTAATCGGACCCAGTTTAGTGGCATCCACGGATGAGGGGGGGAAGGCAGAACGAGGCATGACCATCGTACCTTGTCCTTTCCCTCCCCGTCCCTCTTGCGTCCGTGGTGATCACTCACCGCCTGCTGCTTTGTGACAGGGTCATTCAAGTGGCTTAAGCCATTCCGCCGACCCCCAGAAGGAGCCAGAGCTTGCGAAGATCGTGGAAGTTATGGAGTGGCTGCGCCCAACTCGCCACCGTGCCTGGGCTGTGGGTCAGGAGCCTCTTGAAAGAATATCAAGGTCTCTTGGGATGCCTCTCAGGGGCCTCTCGGAGGTCTCTTGGGTGCACTTGGAAAGCTTTTGGGGGCCTCTTGGGGGCCTCTTGGGGGCCTAGGGGCGTCTGGGGTCTCTTGGGGCCATCTTGGGAGGAATGTCTCGAAATTTTCGACGCTTCGCGCATCCCCACCAGCCCACTCAGAAACAGTTTGCCAGGCGAGTTGAATTCTCGGGGGTCTCTTGGAGCTATCTTGGGGCTCTCTGGAGATCTTCTTGGGGCCCTGTTGGGGCCCTCTTGGGGGGCTCTTTTGGGGCCGTCTTGGCGCCCTCTTTGGGCCCTTTAGACGGGTCTTAGAGCTTTCTTGAATCCGCCTCAATTCAGGTCCCCTCCCTCGGAGGCTCAAACAATGCTTGTTGGGGCTTTCTTGGGGCGCTCTTGGGCGCTCTTGGGCCCCTCTTAGGCCCGCTTTGGCCCCTCTTGGGGCTCTCTTGGGCCGTCTTGGGGCCATTTTGAGGCCTCGGAAGCCCATCAGAAGCGAAAATACCAAATCGCAAAGCTCACTAATGTTCCCAAGGTTTTGGATCCATGTTGGTCTCTTGGGCAAGTCCTTGAAGGGCCCGGAGGACACTTGAAACCATCTTGCGGTCGTCTTGGGCCGTCTTCGATGTGTGAGGGAGGCTATCTGGAGCCATCTCCAGCTCTCTTGAACCATCTTGGAGGCCATTTTGGGTTCTCTGAGGCCCTCTTGGAGCCATCTTGGGCCATCTTGTGCGCTCTAATGCCTCGCGCTCCCCCCCTCCCAGGCCCAGGGGAGGGGGTATGGGGGAGGGGTCAAAACACTCCCTCCCCGCCCGCAAGCCGTCTCGCTCACTCCCACCCGCCCCCCCAACACATACGCAGCACCCGAGCCTGGCCCGAGCCGCAGCATATTCAGCAGTCGTCCTTGGATGGGCAGCTCCTGGGGGCGCATCTGCCGCCGCCGCCGCCTCCGCCGCCGCCGCCGCCGGCCGCCGCCGCCGCCGCGCCGCCGCCGCCGCCGCCCCTGCTGTCCGCCGCCGCCGCCGCCACCGCGCCGCCTGCCGCCGCCGCCGCCGCCGCCGTCGCCGCCCCCCCCCGCTGCCGAAGCGCCGCCGCAGCCGCTGCCGCCGCAGCCGCTGCCGCCGCAGCCGCTGCCGCCGCAGCCGCTGCCGCCGCAGTCGCGCCACCGCCGCCGCCGCGCCGCCGCCGCCGCCGCCGCCGCCCCCGCCGCCGCCGCCGCCGCCACCACCGCCGCCACCACCGCAGCCGCCGCAGCCGTTGCCCCCGCCGCAACCGCCGCCGCCGCCAAGTGTATGTTGTATTGTTTGTTGACAGGGATGGTGGGGGGAGGCCGCATCGGGTTCGCTGCGCGTGCTCCGGATTTGGAGGCAGAGTGTGTTTTGCATGGTTTGTTACAAGGGATGGTGTGGGGGCCCTCATGGACTCGGGTTGGCCCCCAGTCGCCTGGGGGAGGGGGTGTATATCAATAGGGAACAGTGATCAAGACACCCTCCTAGATAGCAAGCCGTCTAGCTCACTCCCACCCGCTTTTCCAACACATAAACACATACGTAAAACCCGAGCCTCTGCATGTTCGCCGGGCGTCTTTGGATGGACAGCTATCGGGGGCCAGAACAGAACCCATGTGCGCGACGCGGGGGCGAGGTGCGCCACGCGTGCCAGGCGCGCCACACGCGCCAGTTCCCCCTGGGGCCCGAGCGTGCTAAGCACGCCTGGTGCGCCAGATGCGCCACGTACCTCCGCGTGCGCCAGGTGTGCCGCATACTCCAGCCGCGCCAGGTGCGCCACGTTCGAGTGTGTCAGGTGCGCCTGCGCACGTGACAACA